TCTGGCACCAGGTTTCATGAGAATGGGCTGATAGACAGAGTTCAAAATAATTTAAATGGAAACAATCATGGGTCTTGAAGTTGACGATCTAGAAAGAAAGACTGAAGGAGTTGTAGAGGTTGAGCTCATAGGATAGAAGAGGGAAGGAAATGTTATAGCTTTCAAAAATGTAAAGGGAGGCTCCAGGAGCACGATCACTGTCATGAAAAGGTACAGACCTGAACTGCTGCAAGCAGGATCCTGGTTGGAAATTAGGAAGCCTCCTGATGAGGAGGGCAGTCCCTGGCACTGGTTGCTTGCCCACCCCACATCTAGCCAGCTCTCAAACAATGGTTGAGCCTGTAGAACCCTCCTCTGCACACTTGTCCTTTTCGCATGTGCTGGACACATCAAGCACAAGGTCAGATATGTGGCACTGAAAAATCCTGGCATCAGTGTAGCAGCTCTCATTACAAAATGAGCTGGGCAATTAGCTAAAACTGGTCAAAGCACAGAATGATAACTAGGAGGGAAAGGCTGGTTGCAAATCCTTCTATGTTTGTGGATCTGCAGCATTTTTAGGCAAGAATCCCAAACTGCTCAGCATGAATTCGTGAAAGCTTTAAATGGTGGAAGGCCTTGAGATATATATATATAAAAAATATTTTTTAAGTTGGATTTTGTGATGCTTCTTGGTGAAAACTGATTAGATTCATTGACAGGAGAGTGTGGATGAAGCATTTCTGTATGGCATCATAAAGTAGATTAAAGAACTTTTTGCTACCTATCTTTTTATAGGAAAATGAAAGAAAATCAAGTGGGAAAATGGCCACTGACATTTCAGTTCCATTGGCACTGTTGTCTGCCTTGCCAAGGGCTCTCCCAAGTAGCAGCCTGGACTGGTTCCTCCACTAACATCAGTGCTACTGACTGCCTATAAATAGGAGTTTGACAAACAGCTCTTTTATTTTCTTCCCCAGGCTCCCGTCACATGCTAGAAAGTGCTTTGCTCTAACTGGAGGCTGCATTACAGTCTCCACAGCAGCAGCCTGGGAAGCTGCTCTGCAGAGCAGCACTTTATGTATGTACAGAGGATGCTGAGGAGGCAGAAGAGAGCTTGCACACATAGGAAGTTTCTCAGCAGTGTTGTAGTTCTGTATTCCCTGAAGGTACTAATGAATGTAGCCTGTAAAAATGAATGTGCTTGTAACAAGCCCCTTTGGAGGCCACTTGCAAAGGTGTTGTGGTTTGGGGTTTTTTCACAGGGCCCGTGTTTCACACTGTGGGAACCTTTACTTCCCTGTGAACAGAAAAGGGATTGATTTGAGCTTTTGAGGTAAGTCAGCTAAGCTAGGTGAAGCTGATTTTTATGGCTGATGAGAAGTGGGTAATTTCTTTGACTTACAGAGAACTATTGTTATGCAATATGCATTATTATTGTTGTGTAATGTTTCTTTGCTTGTTTTGGTCCTCAGTTTAGCGTTTTCCTACATGCGCCTTTGGAGGGAGCTGTCTGTGGCGGTTACTCTTCTGTGAAACATGGAGTTTATGAGCTGAAGTAATAACTGTATTAGCTTTACATATGACCTGGTAGGATTGGTTTTGGTAAGTTTATAAAATTGCAAAGGGTGTTTGCTTTAGGTGCATAAATGGAATCTACAGAAACTAGAATCAAATCAGAAAGGCTTCCAATGCATTTATAACTGTGATTAGAGCTCACTGAAATTGAGAGGTTTCTTAAACGGTTTAGAGGAACTGCCCTGGTGACCAAGGGGCCTGACTCTTACAGTGTAGTTCCTTCTGTATTTCTGATTTCAGAAACACTGAATTAAAATGAAACTGCTTGGCAAGCCTCATGCTGCTATGATAAAATAACCAATTTGTCTCATAGTGAGATATTTATAGCCATTTCACGTTGCTTTTTTTGTTCTTTGCAGATTGAAAGCTGTTTGGAGTAAGAAGTTGCCCTTCCTTCTACTCTAGAAGACATGATTTCCAGGAGAGTGGCGGGATCTCTTGCCCGTCTGTTTGCGGTTACTGCATTTATCTGGAAAGAATTTGCTGGCAAGCTTGGTCATATTAAAACCATCCTGTCTATATATATATATATTTATATATACACTGTGGTAAAAAGCATAGTAGCAGAAAAATATAGGCAGTGCTTTTCATGGAAAGTCATTGTTAAATCTGTAAGAAAGAACACTAATTCATGTAATAGATAAAGTAACACTAGTAGAGGGACAAGCCTCTGAAGGAGAGAGAGAAAAAAAGACCAATTGTGTCTAAATTAGGCTTCTAGCACCGTATCTGACTCACAAACAAATGTTCAAGTGCAAAATATTCCAGTTATATTTCAGTTCTGGCCTGAAAGGATATGATTATCTGTCTCTTCAAACAGCCCAAACTCGCTCCAGTGTAACTAGGGGTAGCTTTGTAGCTATCAAACATTGAGAATGTTTGTAGCTTTAAGTATACTAACTTACTGAGTATGTCTTGAAGACCTTAGGCCCACTGTAGGAGAGG